GACTCCTCACACTCCATGACTGCCAAATTTCTAGACTGAGGTGGAGACCTGCAGGCTGAATCAAGCCTGTTGGCTGAATGTTGAATACCATTTATGTAAAGGTATCATCATCTGCTGTGTTCATGTGTTTCTCCTTTTTTTCTCTCTCTCTAGGATCTAAAATACATCTCTGGGGCATTTTTTGGCTGAACCCTTCTGAATGGCATTTTGCTGATTAGACAGCTGTACTTTCTGCAGCTAGCCACAGCTTCTATTAAAAAAAAATAGTACTTGTATGAACATTTTCACTAATGGATTATCTCTAAAAATGAGGCCTGAGTAACAGGTCAAACCCAGTTTTAGACTGATTTAGCAAGCAGGATGCTGGGTCGATTAGGGCGTATCTGTTCTGGTCCTCGTGCTACCACCAAGCCACAAGGGACTGAATGTCTCTGAATGATCAAGATTCAGTATGAATGTGAATGCTGTCCTCCAAAGTGCTTGCAACCTCTGCCAGCTTGGTACTACCTCCAAATATGAATAAGTGTCCCAATTATCCAGTCTAAGTCATTAATAAAAATATTGACTAGTTACTGGATCCAGGACAGACCCTGTGGAAATCCACTTGATGCATCTGTCCGATGTGTCAGACCATGCAATTACGGCTCTGAGTGTGATTATCTAATGAGTTGTCCCACCTTGTGGTAGTTTCATCTAAACCAGGGGTGTTAAACTCACCTGGGACCCTGGGCTGGATCCTAACCATAGGGTTCCTCCCAGGCCGGATCCAGCCTGAGGCACAGGGATGACCACTGTAGCCTCCTTGGTAGTGTTGATGGCAAGGGGCCTGGTGGCAGCAGTAGGTCTGGGAGCAGGGATCTGTAGGTGACAGGAGGGGGCTGGTAATGGCGGGAGTCCAGAGGCAGCAGTGGGTCTGGGGGTGGCAATGATTGTGGAGGTGGCGAGAGGTCTGCCGGCAGCAGGAGTCCAGAGGGAGCAGTGGGTCTGGGGGGGTGGCAGTGGCAAGCTAAGCTCACAATCAGTGGCCTTGGCCAGTGGGGCCAAAGGACCCTGCATTCTGGGGCAAACCACATACCCCCGACCTCTGTTGGCCAGGGTAGAGAGGCTCTGTGGGTTGGCCCATGGGCCCTAGGTTTAACGCTACTGATCTAGACCATACTCCTTGCTTATGATAATTTTATTTGAGATGGTCTCAAAAGCCTTGCTGAAGTTATGATATATTGAATCGACTGCTTCTTCCACTGTACACAGCATCTGTTAACTTGTCATAAATGTCACGTCCCCTTTGTCTGCCTCAGTTTCTCCTCCCACCACCTCTGCATCCTGTCTGTTTATACAGTAAGCGCTTCAAGTTGCAGGCCGCCTCTTGTGTGTACAAACAGTACTCAGAACAATACAACCCAGATCTCAGTTGGGGATGCTAAGCATTGTTTGTAATACAGACAGTAATGTGCCATGCCACTTGACTTCATAATAGTCCTATTAAATGTTGTTTCCTTGCTTACTGATAACAGGCATGTCTGCCTCTCCAGTCGCAGATAGAAGTGCAACTCCCTGGTGTAACTGAGAAGGCTTTGCAGGAAGTGCTCTGAGTTACAACGATCCCCAGGACTGAACAGAAGGTCAAGGGAGAGGGGAATAGCTGCTGGCTGGGAATCTGCAGCCCATTTCCCCTAGCAATAGACCCCCTCCCTGCACGGCTGCAAAGTTTTTGGAATGGGAGGGGGGGAAGGGAGAAGAGGGACCTCAGTCTAGGGGTTCCCCAGCTGGCACTGGAGGGTGTGTGTGGGGGTGTGTGAAATGGAGCCTCTCCTACCTTGGGGCGGGGCTCCAATATACCCACCCCACCCTCCAGCATGGGGAGGCAGGGAGGGTGAAAAAAAACCTGGACCGAATTCCCTTTGCTTCCTCTCCGCCCTCCCCTTCTGAAAGCAGGTCAAGGTTGGGAGGCAGGCAGACACAAGTTACAGTAGATGCTCTGTTTGGAAACGTCTTCATCTGACCCCTCATGCAATAAGGGTTCAGATTTTCACCTGATCACCCGTATTTGAAGCAGTCTGCAGCTGTGCACTTGTGTTTGGTCACAACTATAGACCACTTTCTATGGCCAGATTGGGTGAAAATCATCACTTCTGTCTGTGGCCTCCATGACCTAGGTTTGTTTCATGACCTATAACTAGGGGCCGACTGAAATTGAGGTGACACACGGACAATTTCACAGCATGATCACGGCACCAGCTGCAATTTTCGCAGGCTTATTGTAGCGACCCCCCTACCTCCCCCACCCCGCTGATTGTTGAGGGGCCCTGGCGGCCCCACCCCTCACCACTGATTGGTAGAGAGGGACAGGGCTGTATGAAAAGCACTCCTTTTGGCCAATCACGGGGGCGGGAGTGGAAGGGCACCATCTTGTCTGCTCTTCATGCTGGCAGCTTTCCCCCTTTTCTCCCTCAATGGGTTGCAAGACTGCAGCAGCTGCTGGCTCCCACCGAGGAGCCAGCATTTTATTTTTAGTAAGTTTTTTTTTTTTTCCTGGTGATTCCGTGCAAAATTGTGGAAACCACCATTTTTTGGTGGTGTTTGCGGAAACTGCCATTTTTCACAGTTTCCACAAAAATCTCAGAATCACAATTTGAGTAGGTCCCTACCTATAACTACTACATTCGTGACTGTAGTTTTGCATTTGTATTTCTAACTTTTTCTGAAAGACACTTTGCACAAGCACAGCATTGCACTCCACAGCTTTGGAAATCTCTGCCTTCTGCCGCATGGGCAATAGCTCTGCAAATTGTGACACTTGCCTGTGTTAGAATGTACTTGGGGGAAGGACAGAGATCTTGTGGCGTGTGCGCCAGCTGGGATAGTCAGCAGAGTTCTCCATAGTAGAGCGAGGGCCAACCTTTTTGTCAGGCATGCCACAAATTAGGCCTATACCTTCCCCGAGAGCCACTCTGACCCCCGTCCTCCACCCAGTCTGCTGATCAGGCAGCTTTGCTTCTGCAGCTAGCCACAGATTTCTGCTTCCTGGCTTATCTGCTGCTGTGCTGCCTGTCCCCTCCCCGATCTGCTGTGTGCCACACACAAAGGCTCCCCATGTCACTTGTGGGACACGTGCCGTAGGTCAGCCACCGCTACCATAGTAGGTTGTCTGCGACTGTTACTTTCAACAATCTGTATTATAGTTTCTGACTTCCAGCTCTCTGATTTGTTGATCAAGCTACCAAATAATTAGTCTTGGCAGGATTTGATTTTTTTATTGATAAATGTTGATTTTTGCCTGGCATTCGTAGACTGACGGGAAACATTTCCATTGGTCATGATCGAAAATGATAGATAGAGGACAAAAAAATCTGGAGTGGGGTAAGGAAATCTGGGGCAGGGGGAGCCGCTTGCGCACTGCTTCTCTGGCAGTAGCTGGGGCAGGTGCAGCAGGAGGTAGGGGCCATGCTGGTAGGACTGTGCTGAGCGGAGGGGTTGGAAGGGCAGGGCAGTCGGCAGCCGGGAGCCCGGTGCCACCAGCCGTTCACTCTGTCCAGGTCCTAGCTGGGAATCAGGTGCCAAACTCCTAGCCCGACCCCTGCATGATTGGGGCAGGGACCAAACTCATGCCGAACCCGACCTGGCCCCTGTATGATCAGGTATTCTTTATTAATTTATGAATATTTACTTTGTATATTTGAACATATGATTTTATAACACTTTTAACAGTATACTGCCATTACTAAATTGTCTGCCCCCACCCCTCTAATTTTGCACAATCCTGAAAATTTAAATAGCTTAAAAATCAAAAGAAATGCTTAAACATGAGCAATGGTTTCAGAATAACAGAATTATTTAAAAAAATGTTTTGAATTCTGCCATGCCAAATAATAATCCAACTATCACGTAGGACTGAAAGGGATCTCTTGAGTCATCAAGTCTAATTCTTAGCTGTTGCAGGCAGTCATGTCATATAATCCCTTTTACAACTTTTGCTGTGTTGTTGCAATGCAGTAAGCAGCTGTACTGTTTATTTTGAATGATCATGGGGCAGAGGGCCTCTGAAACCCAGGGCATTCACAATTTTCACCTGACCCTCCACTGTGAATGAACGTTGTGGGATGGGCACACTGGTGAAAAGGCAGAAAAGTGGTGTTTGTGCTTAGTGTCTTCTCCCTGCAACTTTTTCTCACTACTTAGCTCTGCGAAGTGGAGGAATGCTGTGTTAAAAGCTGGGTGGCGGTGATAAAAAAACACGTGCCTCTGGATGACAGTGATAGAAAAACACATGTCTCTGGCTTGTATTGAATGGTAATAGTGCCCTGCACAATTCCGATAGCAGTATCAAATGCTGTGAAATCAAACAAAACCAGGCCCAATTCTCTCACTGATGGTTAGGCCCTTTCATGCTGCTCTCATAATGCACAGGTTCATAGACTGGACATAAATGTCCTCTGAAATTGCCCCTGTACCTGGGGACCCCCCTTCCTGATGGAAAGTTGCACAACAGCCTTCCCTTAACACAGGGGTGGGCTATTATTTTGGGAGGAGGGCCGCTTACTGAGTTTTGGCAAGCCATCGAGGGCTGCATGACAGGCAACCAGTGGCAGATAAATATTAGTTGTCTAAGTTTTTTAGGGGCTCCATGGGTTGGATAGATTGGCCGGGTGGGCTGCATTTTGTCCACCCTTGCTAACAGCAATTGTAGTGGATGGTTCACTTGCCTGTTGGGGCTGGATTGTGCTGCATATAGGCTGTTCCTTCTTCCAGTGGGAGCCAAACTTTAGTTTGGGTACCTTTAGTTTGTCTAACTTTAATCATAGGTAACTGGTACCTTGCAGAGCTTTAGAAAACGCATAGCGTGGCTTAAAGCTGTCTTTGATTTGTCCCATGCTCAGGCCGTGAGGATTAACTCAGAAGGAACTGTGCATTACATGCCGTATTAAACTCCTGTTTTAATATTAATCATGTCCCATCCACTTCATTAACTTATCTGTTTGCTTGTTTTTTTCTCATTCCAGCCCAGAACTGCAGTCACATTTTGCAAGGCCCAAACGGGACGATACAGAGTCCGGGATTTCCGTATGGCTACCCAAATTATGCAAACTGCACGTGGACAATCACTGCTGAGGAGCAGAACAGGATACAGCTCGTGTTCCAGTCTTTCGCATTAGAGGAAGATTTTGATGTACTATCCGTCTATGATGGACTGCCACAGCAGGGGAATCTGAGAACCAGGTAGAGCCTGCACCATAACAAATGGTGGTGTTTATAAAGATGTTCAGATTTCTGCCCCTGGGATTAAAATGCTTAGGTTGGAGGTTTATGTTGCAATAAACCAGGAGCTCATTTTTATGAGCAGTTCTGTTAGCTGTCTTGATTTCTTATATTTGATAAGGTCTTAAATATTGCTGTGCGTGCCTGACAGTCGTGATTTATCAATACAGTCATTCTAGACATTCAGAGAAGTTGATTAGAAAAATGGAGCAACGAGAGAGGAAGTCTAACAGGAAAAGATGTTCCTGTAAACCCCCCAGCTTTGGTGCCTGAGAGGGAGGACAGAATTATAGTTTAGGCATCATACTCAGAAAGCCTGGCCAGGGGCAGGCAATTATTTTGGGCAGAGGGCCGCTTACTGAGTTTTAGCAAGCCATCAAGGGCTGCATGATAGGCAGCCGGGGCAAATCAATATTAATTTTCTAAATTTTTAGGGGCCCTGTGGGCTGGATTGAATGGTCTGGCGGGCCACATCCAGCCCCTGGGCTGCATTTGGCCCACCCCTGGTTTAGACCCTAGTTTTGTCGTAGACTTCCTGTGTGCCCTTGGGTGAATGACTTAATCTCTCTGTATACGTTCACCACCTGTGACATGGGTGTTGATGGTTG